TGTCACCTGCGTGCCACCCACGGGGACCGGGAGCGCGTGCTGTGCCCACCTCTGCTCGTCGGTAGACGGGGAGGGCAGGGAGCTGTCGGGGCGAGACGGAGGAGCAGCGCGCGGTGTCGCTGACCTGAAGCCAGCTGCAGGGGTGGAAGGGGCTCCAAATTAGGCTGCTGGCAGTGTGAGTGCCCGTCCCTGCCCGTGCAGCTGGGGTGAGTGTTCCCAGATGTACCTGGAGCCAGAGCCCAAGTCCTCCTGGCCCAAGAAGCCCCCAGCATCAGTGCTGAGCTGTCGGGGCGAGACGGAGGAGCAGCGCGCGGTGTCGCTGACCTGAAGCCAGCTGCAGGGGTGGAAGGGGCTCCAAATTAGGCTGCTGGCAGTGTGAGTGCCCGTCCCTGCCCGTGCAGCTGGGGTGAGTGTTCCCAGATGTACCTGGAGCCAGAGCCCAAGTCCTCCTGGCCCAAGAAGCCCCCAGCATCAGTGCTGGAGCATCTCGCCTTGTGTCAGCTACGGGAGCCATGATATCGAGGGGGGTATTGGGATTATTGGAGCTGGAGTGGAAAAGGCAAGGGGGGTTGATGGTAGGAAACAGAGGAGACGAGGCTGCATCAGAGGACCTCGCCCACAGCCATTTCATTCCCAAATTAAGTGCATGTAAATGAAAGCAGAAGCTCAGTGAGGGAGCTGAGCGGGAGGGAAGGGTGCTTGGTACCTACCACCCAGCCCTTTTCCTTTCCTCCCTGCCTGCGGCCAGCTGTGTCTTGCCGGTCCCAACCATGCACCCAGTCACGGGTAGTGGGAGATGCACTAAATTAGGGGGGAGTTCCCAAGGTGATGCTGGCGTTGTCCCTCCTCCCGCGGGCAGAGCTCCATCCGCCGGGAGCTGGCTGGTCGGACAGCTGTGGGTGAGTGCTTTCCTTCTCGTTGTGCAGACTGTGAAAGGAGGGTTTTCCGAGACCCGAATAGAGAAGCGCATCATTATCACGGGAGATGAAGACGTGGACCAGGACCAGGTAGGAGCAGGAGGCGCTGGCTTTGCCCGGCTCTGGCTGCAGCACCGCGTGCTTCTGGTTCTGGCTCGTACCTGTTTACTCCTTCTCTCCAAAAACTGACCCCAGGGCCCCAAACTGGCCAGCTCTGTCCTGTCCCCACCCAGGCCAGCTCCCATCAGAACCCACTGGAGCAGTGAAGCAGTGGTGAATGGTACATCCCAGCACTGAGCCCAGTGATGGGATCAGCTTTTTATTTTCTTAAAACACGTTTCCAGTTGCCCTTTCTCTGTTGAAATACTCCAAAGTGAGCCAGATTCTTCCTCTCTTCCCAGCACAGTCTCACTACAGGTTGACTCCTTCCAAGTGGTGGTGTTTTGCATCAGCCTCCGTGATAGAGGAACAAAAAGTGACAAACTTTTATGATGAAATAACAGAGATCGACACAAATCTCGAGGGCCACAGGGTCGTTTTCCTGTGGCCTAGCCTTTTGGGATTTGTTGGTCAAGAAGAAAAAGTAAAGAACTAAAGTATTTAGAAGGTTATAAAATAATTTTTAAATTTATTACTGTAATTCTAAAAAAATCTAAGTAGATTATTGTCGTAGATTTTTCTAGGGTTTTGCTGCAGAGAGAATTGCTGCTGTTCCTTGGGTTTCAGTAGAGAGCCTGGGACACAGCGCGTTTCTACAGAAAAAAGCAGCAGGAGAAGGGCAGCGTGAGGCATCCCAGTGGTGTATGAATCCCCGACCAGTGGTGGGCTCCAGCCTCTTCTGCCAGGCTCCTGCGGGTTCAGCTTTGAACCTCGGCATCCGTGTCCTCCCGGGATCCCACTCTGCTCCAGCTGCTTTCTGTCCACTGGTTCTGCCTGGCTGAGAGCAACGTACCAGATTTCAGGGAAGGGACAATAAATGCTTTTGTCCTTTTGGTTTCTAGGCACTGGCTTTAGCAATCAAAGAGGCAAAACTACAGCATCCCGACATGCTGGTAACCAAAGCTGTGGTGTACAGAGAAACAGAGCCTTCTCCAGAGGAAAGGGACAAGAAACCTCAGGTAGGTGGAGACGTTCCCAGGTATGGTTTGTCCCTGCTGCGTAAGGGGTGGATGGAGCTGGGCGAGCATCTCTGGTCCCCAGCAGCTGCGGGCGCTGGCCGGCGTCGCTGCTCCTCGGCACTGGGAGCCACAGCTCTCGGTGAGCAGTTCCAGTCGGGTGGTGGCTCCAGGCATGGCCACCTGGTTGTGCTTAGAAAGCCGGTGCCACGCCACCAGAAGCAGTTCTGCAGATGTCACCTCGCTGTCCTGCTCAGCAGAGGGGTCAGAGTCATTGCAAGTAAAGAAGAAAGGACCCGCTTGTCCCCCCGGGGCAGGGAGGCAAAGAGGCGATACCGGGTTTGTGGATGGGCTGAGAAACTTGGCTACAGGTTCTGCGATGCCAGTCCGAAGCATCAGACCAGTGTCTGCAAAAATAGAGATTTCTTTAGTCCCATTCAGATCCCCCGGTTGTCTTCTGGTACCCGTGCAGGGGGAGGCAGCAGCACGCAAGGTCTGCACCTCCCGGCAGGGCAGAGGAGCGTGGTGGAAAGGAGCGGGGCAGCTTCTGAAGGCAGCTTCGCCGCTGAAAAATGCGTGAGGAGCTCTGTCCCCAGCCAGGCTGCAGGTGCCTTCCGAATGGCCTCTTTGGAAACGTCATTTTGTGTTTCTTTACCATATGAAGATTTTGACTGGCAGCTTTTAAGCTTGGAAAAGCGACCAGCTCCGTTGCAGCTTGGAAGGTCAGAAGAGGCTCTGGCATCTGCCTAATTTTGCCTCCTGTCCCACAGTGCAGACAAGGGAGCCCAGACACTGCTGCGTCGCTTAGGGAGCCACCCAGTTTTACCTGGATGGCTCAAAGTACGGGAGCAGGGACTCACCATTAGCTCCCCCGTGCACCAACACCAGCCCAGTGAGTTAGGAGTTCCTTGCTAATTACCAGAGGTCCTGGTAATTAAGTGCAAACTGTGGCCCGAAGTGTTTGCAAATTTGCTGCCCAGTGCGGGACAGGAGGAGCCCGTTTGTAGCCGAAGAAATCCGCCCCCCGTGACTGCTCGTTTCCGTCTGCCTTGTACAGGAATCTTGACCGACGTGTTCGTGGAAGCCAGCATCCGTAGTCGAACCTGGAGAACAGCGGAGAGGGAGCCTTCATGCTGGATTTGTCAGCGAGACATAGACATCCTGGCTGCAATGTTCATGGCGAGAGACAAAAAATTTTTAAAAAAAGGAATAGCAAATATATTATATATATATATACATACATACATATATATATATATATAAAAACAGGAAACAAAATGCATCCTTGCACTGCTGCTAAATGCTGGAAATGAATAGCAAACACCACCAACAACAAACAAAGCCAACCCTCTGCAGATAAATTGAAGAATTTGCTGGATTGGTGATAAAATAAGATTTAAAAAAATCATAATAATAACAATAATATTGTTAACAATACAATAAGCCACCATCTTGCATGTTACATTAAAGGATACACAATCATGAGTTCGTTTGTTGCACACTGAATGGAAAGGAAAACTGCTTTGCAACAAAGCAAGAAATAAGCAAACTGAAATAAAAAAAAAAACCACAAGCAAAAGCAAAACCACTCCCCACCTCTGGAAAGAAGAGAGAAAAACATCGAGTTTATTATCTTAGCGTTCTTTTCCGATTCCTAAGTGTCATTTTGGCCTTCTCCTCATTCCGTGCTGGTTCTTTCGTATCTTTTGGGGTTCTGTTCACTCTGCCCCTTCCGTTCCTGATCTTCTTCTCTGTGCACTTGTCCAACCTCTTGTTCTCTGAAGGTATTTAAGAAAGGATTTCATTTCAAACAAAACAAATGATATGTATATGGTTTCTCATTTATAAAACAAGCAGCCTGTAGGGGTTTCATATGGATGTGCATTTAAGTTATGTATATTATTATAAATAACGAGGGGGGAGGGAGGGAACAATACTGAAATAATTCAACAGTGCTGGTAAATACGGTGATGACATTTTTAAATTATTAACTCTTTGATTGACTGTGGTTGGTGTTTTTTGAGACTCTTAGGTCACACGTGGGACTCTCAGTCCTGCAAGAAGAGAACGGGGAAGGTTTCAGCCGCTGCTGTTTGGGGGGGAGGGGGGAAGGGGAGAGGGGGAGAGGCAGGAGATGTCCTGCCGGCTGATCCGCAGC